CCACGCCATGTGGATCTCCTCCGGGGCAGGCGGGAATCGAACTCATGCGGAAGTGGTTTCAGCTTCTTAGTGCTGTGCTTTAACCCGCTGCGCCACTAGGGAGGGCCTCCCCCCCATTTTTAATCTTATTTTTGCATTAAAAAATACTTGGTGGGCCCTCCCTGGGTTAAAGCTCAGCACTGCAAGCTAGCTGCAGCCTCTTCCTCTTCAGTGGGAGTTGGATCCCCCGCCTGGAGGTGACCACATGGTGTGGCAGACCTCTCCTGATCCGCCTTCTGCTCCCCTCAGCAGTGTACTTCATCAGTGGGCCTGTTCTGGTCCCCACTCTGTCTCTGGTGAATCCTCTCACCACCCCTGCACCTCTGGTCTGTACCCCAGTTCTGTATGCATAAATAAATAAATCTTTGAAAAAAAGAATACTTGGGTCCCACATGCTTATTGTATTCACTAATTTATAATTTATGTGAAAACTTATTTATGATTGAAAAAATGCTTTTAAATTAATTTGCATTTTTAACTACAGGACATTCTATATTATTTTTGCTGAGTGTTTCTTGGTGCTTAGTATAATTCAGAATGACAATGATCAGTGTGCTGTGTATACACTGGAGACAGTAACCCCCACCTTGCTATAAGGAAGGCTGTATTTCATTTACTACATGAATCAAGGTGAATGCCTTTTTCGACTTTTTGAAATAACTTTTTCTGTATTTTATACTTTGCAAGGTAAATCTGCTTTTAAATTTGATAGTTCTGGGCTTCCCTGGTGTCGCAAGGGGTTAGTCTAAGCACTATCAAGCTATCCGCAGCCACTGTAGCACGAGTTTGATCCCTGGCCAGGGAGCTGACCCACCTGGCAGCAGACCTCCCTTCTCGACCTGCTGTTCCCCTCAGTAGTGCATTTCAGTCAGTCCGCCTGTTCTGTTGCCCACCCCTCTACCTCTGTCTGGCCTGACCCCCAGTTCTTGCATGCATAAATAAATAAATTGGTAAAAAAATAAATTTAATAATTCTAATTACATATTTTAAATGAACATTGCAGTAGTTATGAAAATGAATATAGTGGTTAAAGGAGTTCTTGGAGCAATGGTTTAAGGATTTTAGTTCTTGTTTTTTCATATTTAACTCTTCTGGGATTAAAACAAAAAACAAAGGTGGAGCTAGATTGTCTCTAAGCATTTTCCCAGCTTTGAGAACTTCTTTGAGTCTGGAAGAGGGAAGAATTCAGCTTCCTTGCTCAAGACTGCATAACAGGATATATTTTTACCTTTGTGACATGTCCATTGCAGAACTGATACTGTAGAACATGAGGATGCTGTCACTAGTCAAGAGAGCAAAGATAGGCTAGTCTTCAAGGCCATTCAAGGTATGTATCATTACTATAATTTCAAGAAGTTTTAATTTCCATCTATTTTCTTTGTAAATAATAAAGCCGTATTTTCTAGATGGCACGTGACTTTATTTTCTGTTTGCCTAGATTTTTAAAAATTAATATACATGTGTTCATACTATATGTATTTGGTATATATATTGAGTATTTTTGGAATTTCTTCTACCTTAATGATCTTGTCTAACTTAATAGTTTCATATAAATTAAGAATTTAGGATATAGCAAAATATTAGGTATTTGGGTCCTATTTATGAACTGAATAAAATATGGTTGACTTTTGTAATAGAAGACTTATCTCATACATTAGGTAATATCCTAAAGAGACTTGTGGTAACCTAGTGTAAAAAAAAAAAAAAAAGATGCTTGGCCCTCCCAAGTGGCACAGCAGGGTAAAGCATAGCACTGAGAAGCTAAAGTCACTTCAGCATGAGTTCAATCCCCGCAGCCCCAGAAGTGATCCACGTGCCGCGGCAGACCTCTCCTGACCCACTCACTGCTCCCCTCAGCAGTGTACTTGTCAGTAAGCCTGTTCTGCTCCCCACTATGTCTCTGGTGAATCCTCTCACTGCTCCTGCACCTCTGGCCTGTACCCCAACTCTGTATGCACAAATAAGTAAATCTAAAAAAAAAAAAAAAGGCATAAGTGGACACCAGGTTCATGTTTGGATTATGCCACCCAAGGGTATATGACTTTGTGTGAATCCCTCCTATGTCTTTATCTCCAAAATGGACATAGCAATCTTTTCTCTAACTTTTGAAAGCTGTTACAGGTAGACCTTGAACAGTAAAACACTCATAAAATGTTGTTTCTGAGTGCAGTCTTGTAACCACAACTGCATATGAAACTCAAATAGGCAATTCCTCTGCTGAATCTCATAGTTTAGAAGGGAGAGAGGCATTAAACAAGTTACAGAAATCAAAATCTTATTTATGAATTTTGAGAATCCTCATTTATCATTTGAAGGTGGTAAGGGGATAAGAAGTCCAAAAACAGATTAAAAGTTGGCTGGGATTAGCATTTGACCTCTCATTCCTGATGCTGTACTTAATCAATTGCTGTCTCTACCCTGGCTGGTACAATATTATATTTTGTTATACATTTTTCTGTCCTCCAAGGTCCTGTATTAAATATTTCCTTAAGCTGGCACAAATTGCATTAAGTAAAATCACTGACTACAAAGAATATACTAAACATCTGAAGGTTAGATTTCCTGGAGGGAAGGTTTATTTTGGACATGTAAATGTAGGTAGCACTCCATAATTCAGATGGTATTTAATATGTAAGTTACAATTGGAAAATTTCAAACTGTTTTAGTAACTTGGAACTGATGATATTTGAGAGAAGTCTCTCAATTTTATAGTCCATTTGGAACAGGAAAGAGACATGAAAGAGATTAAAGATGTGGGATCATTAAGTGAAGCCTAGAAAAGAAAATGACAATTTTCTTTGTAACACTTAGCTTATTTTTATGTTGATAAAGTGAGACATTTCCCTATATTTAAAATACAACACTTCCACCACATAGTGGTGCTATAGTCCTAGTATATTTACATGTGCTTTTATCTATAAACCAAGTTTTTTCAAATATTCTATTTTCTGAAGCCTTTTGCTAGTCAGTTACATCAATTTCAATTTTCTTAGAAGAGAGACAATTGCAATGTGATACATTTGTGCAAGGAGCTATTAGCTTCAACTTCTCTTCAACAGATGTGCTAAAAGAACAGCTACATAGAAGAAGCGTTCGTATTTTGACTAGATTGGGAAAACACCTACAGCAATTGGACAGAGAAGGAAATGGACTTTTAGATAAGGCAGATATAAAGCAAGCTCTAAAAAGGTTTCACCTAGAAGTGTCTGAAAAGGTATGTACTGCAGATAACTCTCTGGAGTGGATAACACGTCATTCTTAGATCGCATTCTTCATTTTCCTAAAAGCCAGGCATTGTTCTAAGCTCTGAGATCTACTCTGGACTTTCAAGGTCTTCATAAGCAGAGAAAAGAAAAGTATAAAGTATTATAAATAGATGATATAAGTTAAATAGAGAATGTTTTCAGTACCCACAGGTAAGTTCCTAGATTAGGTAGACGGATAGGGAATATCATGAGTGAATTTCTGGAGAAAGACAGAGCTGAGGTGAGCTTCAAAAGATGATGAGTGTAGATCCAACAAGGCATACTTCAGGGAAAAGGAAACGTGTGGAGGCCTGGAGGGAGGGGTGAGAGGGTGGCATGAGGAAAGGTGTTGGTCATCACTCCTGTCTCCCTCCCTGAGCGCTCCCATGCCGTCCTCTCTGCTGTGAGTAATCTTCCACCAAAACTTTACATGACTGGATTTTTCTGTCAGGCAGATTTTTCCTATTGAGAGCACCAGCCTGACACCTCTGTCACAAGGAACATTCCTGTCTGATCCCTGGTCCTCTGTGTACCATTTACCCACTTTACTTTACTTTCTCCACGCCTCTCTAAGTGTCTGATTCTGCCTGTAAATAGAATGTAAGTCCTGTCAGTACAGGGACCAGGTGCTTCGGGTTTCTTGCTCTATTTCTAGCACTTGAAATAGAACCTGGCATGCAATACAGCAAGTGCTGAGTAAACAGACAGTACGTTCGTTTAAATGGCAGGAAAGAAAAGAAAAAACTGATAGAAATAAGACTGGCAGGGGCCATTATATTAAAGCCTTGCATGCTGTGCTAAGAATTTTGGATTTTATCTTGAAAGTATATTCATTTGAAGCACAGCTACCTCAACAGTTTCAGATAAGGAATTCTCTTGCTTTCAATGGTTTTGCCACCAGGTGTGGAAGGAAGACTAGAAATTGAATTGATAAGATGTAGGTTCAAATTCTACCCTTTGTGCTTCAACTTGAGATCTTGAAGAGATTGTTGAACTTTTCTGATTGACAGGTCCTCCCTGCACAATCCCATGGTAATAACTTAGGCAGAGTTGCTTTGCAGCTACGTTGAGACAATGATGTGGAAATATGCTTTAATTTTAAAATTCTGTGCACAAGGGAGGTTGCTTTTAGTTGTGATATACCTGTTTTTTGTGTGTGTGGTTTTTTTTGCAGTAAGCCTTGTGACCCACCTGGTGACACACAGAGTCTCTCAGGACTGTCACCTCTTCCTTTGATAAAATAAAACAAGAAAGCAATAGGAGATTAAAAGGCTCTGTCTTTGTCTACACCATTGGGCAATTTATAACTAAGCAGAATTAGACCCAGATAATCTGGGTCTATTCTTTCTGCTTAACTGCACTACTTCTCTTTTTGATTGACCTGCTAAAGTTTTATAATTAGATTCAGTAATAAAAGCTAAAATAATTATGAAAGAAATCCAACATAGGACACATATGATGAAAATAAGAATAAGCTACCACTTTTTCTCATTTAAAATAAAATAAAATATTGCCTATCTATTCCCTGGAATGTCAATGGAGACTGCCTAGTGATGAGAAGCAAAACATACATGATCTTTGATCTGGGTCTAATTATGGGACTAGTTTGCCGGAAGGCAAAGTAATTTTCCGATTTTGAAATTTAGAAAAAAATATGTTAGGCAACCTAAATCATCTAATTTGCATAGAGATACTATCAGTGAATTAACCACAGGTCTTTTTTTAAAAAATGAATCCGCATTTTCCATTCTGTGCTCTGTCTTAGAAAATTATATATTTTTTTCCTGTTTTTTTAGTTCTTGAATATTATTTCTTTTAATTTCCACATAATATCTTTTAATTCTAGACCTCCATTATTTGGATGAATGAGCTCATCTTCTCCTATCTATGCTACTTAGATAGGTCAAGTTCTTTTTAGTATTTCAAAGCTCATTTACAGACACTTCAGGTCTGTCTTATCTACAGGCACTGTGACAGATAAAAAAAAAAAATGGTATTGTTTGTTTAGATTTAAGGAGAAGCAGGGCATTTTGTATGGCTCCTGGAGGCACAAGTAGTTAAGTCTCAACACTATCAAACCATGGCCAGCCACTGCGACATGAGTTCAATCCCCAGCCAGGGAGCTGACCCACATGGACAGCAGACCTCTTTGACTTGCCCACTGCTCCCCTCAGTAGTGTATTTCAGTCTGCCTGTTCTGCACCCTTCTCTGTCTCTGATGAATCCTCTCACTCCCTGCACCTCTGACCTATACCCCAATTTTTTGTATACATACATAAATAAAAATAAATCTTAAAAAAAATTAGTTTTTTTT